GCTCAAGCGGCCTCATAGCCAACTGGCTAGCGCTCTGGTGCCACAGGCTTCAGGTGAGAATCCTAGCAGTGGCATGGATGTTTGTTGGAGTCCATGTTAAACTGTAGGTCAGGGCCTGAAGTGTGCACAAAATGACTGTAGAGCGATAAACCAAACACAATCTAAACCAAACCTATAGCTCAAGGAAGGACATTCCGGCTTACAGATTTAGTACGACCTAATATACTAAAGTGATATCCTCCATCATAATGGTTATATAATGATTACATGGGTCATGTTTGAGAAACCATTGGGAAAATACTTCATCCATTGATGATTTATGTCAGTTTGCTACTCTGATCTGACTAGCTTTCTGCCACAGGTTTCGGGTTCGAGTCAAAGCGATGTCATGGATGTTTTCAGGGGTTTGGAATCCACTTTAAACAGTCGATTTCGATCTAATATAACTGTAAAGTGTTGGGTGTAGGGCTGACAACATCTGAAAGAAATTATCTCTGTCTCGAAATCTGCCAGTAGACAGGCGGCTTTGGCTCAGCAAGGACTGTAGTTCCAGGTAGTTAGTTAGCTACTCATTGATTCATTTGTTAAACAGAAATATTTTTTTTAATTTTTTAAAAAAATATTTGAGACATTTTATTATTGAATTTGTCTTACATTAACAGCGTAAATTAGAAATGTAAATTAATGCTTAATTTTTATTTTTTTCGGTTTTTTTATTTAATTATTTTTTTTAATAAAATATGATATCAATTTTTTTTTTTGTCCACAAAAACCTCAAACGGCTGAAAAGTTTTCCATTTCCGACTATTTCCTAGAAACCAATTATTTTCTACAAACGAAAATGTTGGATTAGATTGCATTATATTAGATGAAGATCTCCAAAATATTTTAAGAATAGCAATTACTTCGTTCGTATTTGTTAGAAGGGAAGTTGTTTACTACAAAATTAATATCCGGATGTTAATAAACATGTTTATTCATTTTATTTAATAATATACAAAAAAAAAAAAAATTATGAAGTTTTTCTTTAAATATCTATTTACATTTCCAATCTCCGGATTTTTAAGTATTTTTATCTTTGTAGATCTCTTAATTTTTTTTTTTTTTTTCACTACATCTGGACCTATTCAATTTTATTTATTTTATTTTTTATTACTTATTCATTTCTTTTTTAAATTATGAACAAAATGAAATCGAAGATTATTATGAAAAGTTTCAAAAATATACTTATTTACAGTGATAGACATCTTACATTTAAGTCCTTTTTTTTGGTTTAAAAATTATTAATATAATGAGTATATGCTATATGCGACTCGAAATAGTTTATTTTATTTAGGTGTGACTCACATGCATGACTTGTCCAACCATATGCGCAGCTGGTGTGCAGGTAGGCTGGGGTTCGAATCCTGCTGGCGGCATCCGTTGAGTCACTGTTTTTAGGAACAAGGTTTGGTTTGGTTTGTCGCTCTACGGTCATTTTCTGCATACTTTGGGCTAATTAGTGCGGGAACTACAGTTTAGCGTGGATTCCGAACCACTTAAAACATCTATGTTACCGCCAGGATTCGAACCTGAAGCCTGTGGTACCAAAGGCTAGATAACTAGTCAATTGGCCATCAAGCCGCTAATGAACAAGGAGACTTAATGGGTAAAGCACGTCCCATCCATAGTCAGGCTACATGGTAGGAGTTTACCGAATTTTCTCCCATATGACACCATTTAGGCGAACTCCTCCCAGAAGGCCATGTCCTTCCATCAATATTGGGTTGTTCATGCCGTATCTAAATGGAACTCGAGCCTCACATATATTTAAAAAAAAAACTGATGGACTCTAATCCCGTGGTAACTCACAACTAACTTGAACCAGCTATAGGCGTGAGTTACAGTCACTGTTTCAAGATTTTGTCACTCATAATCAAGTCAAATAGTGCTAGATACAAGGGTTAAAATGCATGCTTTATTGGTATTCTAGCGGGGCCTGAATGGCCGAGTGGCTAGCGCTCTGGAGCTCGTACCACAGGTTTCGGGTTCGTGTCCCGGCGGCGCCATGGATGCTAGTAGTGGTTCGGAATACACTTTAAAGTGTAGGTCCCGGTCGAATAGGATCGTAGAGCGTTGCGGGGGCATTGTTACTCCGCGTCCGTGGCTTATCTTCAAGTTACACGCGCCTCCTGGGTAATGCAAAGTGAGTACGTCTGTGCAGCGCTTGTCTTAAGGCATCCAAGACCAAGCTGTCTAAGTGTTTGCCAGCTGCATTAGAAAGAAAAAAAAATTTGGTATTCTAGCATTCTTGCCTATTTTCATTGTGCTTGGTTGTCTATAAGTATTTTATCAAATTTCAATTATTTTGTCGCCACACATATAAGATTTTTACATTGATGGAAACCCTACACGTAAACCTGTTTCCGTGTAAACCATAACAGATAATTTTTTCGTTTACATAACAAGTTAGATAACAAAAAAGGAATTGAGTTAAAGGATATAGAAATGTCCGAAACGCCCAAAAATTATGGCTGTAATGAGTATTTTTAAAAACTTCGTGTGACCTTCAAATTAGCTTATGCAAATGTTTCGGGTATCATAACAGTTTTAAAGTACTAAAACCTGAAAAAGCGCAAAATTTCTTGTTCTGACACATTATGTATCTCATTTTTTGTTAAAGCTTATTTCTGATGGAAAATATGTCATAGAATATATACTAACAAGAGCATACAGGAGATAATGGTATTTTAAAAAACAACAGTTAGATTATAGTTTTATTAAATCAAATTCTGATGACAAAAATATTCTAAAACTAATCAAGCTAAATATGGAAAGGAAAAAAAAAGATTCATTTTTAATTCTTCTTCATAGTGGCAACAGTCCCATGGTGGGCCAAGGCCGTCTGCCTACTGGCAGATTCCGAAACATGAAATGTTTTCTTTTTTACGGAGTAGTGTTGTCAGCCCTACGCCCTACACACTACAGACGTATTAGAACGGGATATACGATTTAAAGTGGAATCAGAACCATTACAAATATCCATGTCACCGCTGTCTGTGGCACGGAGCACCAGAGAGCTAGTCACTCGGCCATCAGGTCCCTACATTTTCAATTAATTTTTAAATATTAGAGAGTTTTTGCATACCGTACGTTAGTTACCGTAGGACGTCCGTTAGCTTTTTCTCCCTAGCGCGCATGCTCATAGGAAACATAAACATCATAGGAAACAAACTCTCTATTATTTTAATTTTTGTCGCAATAAATTAAAGAAAGGCTTTATTTATAAATTTTGTTAATTTTTTTCATATTTCAATTGCTTTTAACATTATAAATGTAGGATTTATTTGTTTCTGTTTAATCAGTAGGCGGCGACACATTACGCTTGCTTGTCTTTGGCGGAGCCTGTTTACAACGTGGGGGAGTATTCAACTTTGAACTCTGAACCCACGAGAAGGGGACAGGACCCCGTAGATGAAGGAAGAAAGAGAACGCTGGCAGGAGCGATTGGGGAGGATGTGCCAAGCAGCGAGAGGATATGTTTAACCCCTTAATTAATGTAAATATCATTGTAAAATATAATATTAAATGTCTTTATTTAAAGTAACGTCCCGTTACTGTGTTTTGTCTGTCAAATACCCTAGACACCCACTGCAAAAGTACAGCCATTGTTAGACTGGTAGAGAAGTCTAACAAAACTGTAGATTCGACCGGGCTGAATCTATTGGAACCGGTGTAACTCTACATAAATTTCAACAAAGGTCATTCCTGATGTTTTAGACATCGAAAAAAAGCCTTCTGGAGATAGTATACATGGTTTACAAACAACAAAAGGTTCGACAAGTGATATTGAACCGAAAGTCCCCCTTGTCTTTACTGCACATAGTATGGATGGGACATAGAATAATACTCGTAATAAAATAGATCGCGCAAAGAAATAGCCATTTTGAAGTTAACATGCTCGTCACGTGATAAGTGTATACTTCAGCAAATGCCTTGGTCATTGGTTTGCGTGGCAGTGGTCGCTTTGTTTACTTGCTTTGCACTGAAAAAATGGATTAAATAAGGCTCTGTGTATGCCTGTGTTCGAGAAATCTGAGAAAGGAACTGAAATAAAAACAGAATTGTATCTGGTAATAAGGCCTTTTCGGTTAAGAAATCTGCTCAAGTTCATAAGCACAGAAACTAAATTCTTGTTATATAAAACCCTTATTACACCTATTTTGGTCTATGGCTCTGAACTTAGACTTCGGCAACATCTCCATTTGGGTATATTTGAGCGGAAGAATTTAAGGGATATTCTTTTGGGTGTTATGGAAAGTGATTGTTGAAGAAGACGATACAACGCAGAAATTTATGAATGCTATAAAGACCCAGATATTATAAAATGTATTATGATCAATAGAATAAACTGGGCTGCATATGTATTTAGAGTGAATGATTTAAACGCTGTAAAAAGGCTCGTTTTGGCAAAGCCACAGGGACAAAGAGGAAGAGGACGACCAGTTGCGTTGGATAGACGCAGTTGAAAAAGATTTTGATGTACTAAAGGTTAAGAATTGGAGGATCAGCGTCATTCAGAGGAATGCATGGAAATCACTTCAAAGGAAAGTCTAGGACCACTCTGGACTGTCGTGCTATTGATGATGATGATGATGATGTGAAAGGAGGGCCTTATACTCTTTCCAGATGATTTTTAGATTATCCACTGTATTTGTTCGCGCCAACGAGCAAGGATACCCCTAGCGGCGAAAAAAGTGTGTGTACGCATGCGCCTGCGAGCGCATAAGTGTGAGTCTGAACAGTGTAACGCCACAGAGGCAAGAGTGAACATCACGGCTGCGAGTGGCTGTGCCTGTGTCGTGCAAATAAAGTGTTGTTACGTTTTCATTGTGATTATTTATTGTGTTTGTATGAATGTGATACAGTCCGCTAAGAGAACATGTGTCAGTGCTTTTGACGAAAACAGTATTCATTAACAAAATAACATAATAATGTTATTTTGTTAATGAATACCGTAATGGCCGTACCATGCTGAATATACCGGTTCTCGTTAGATCACCGAAGTTAAGCATCATTGTACTTGGGTGGGTGACCACCTGGGAACACTGCGTGCCGTTGGCAAATTTGGGACCTGAATGGCCTGTAGCGCTCTGGCGCTCGGTAGGTTTCGGGTTCGAATCCCGGCAATGGTTCGGAATCCACTTTAAGCCGTAGGTCCCGGTCTTCTATGACTGTAAGAGCGTCACGGAGCAAAAGTCAGGCTTCTACCTACGGGTGCTCCATCACAACAGAAGCTGCTTCCTTCCCCTTCAATCATGAGTCCGTATGGGCTCGTGGGCTTGGCCAGCCAAGTGGGATAAGAAACAACAACAACAACAAACACATAATAATTGTTTGTCCTTCACTTTTACTGACTTATTTAAATTTCTCTTTACTTATAAATGATAGCAATTTAAATTACTGTATCGAAAAAAATTGTCCTCATATGCTATTATCTATTAATGACAATTTTTAAGTATACACCAACATTCATCACGTACTTTCAAAAAAAAAAAATATTTCATAATATCCAAAGTTTGCTCAAACACCTGTTAATGATAATTGTTGATTGGAAACAAAAGTACAGATGTATTCCGTGAACATATTATTATTATTGTTATTCTAGTTCTTGCAGCGAACAAAGACTGGAATGGAAATAAAACAACAACCAGCAATTAATTGAAATACGCCTTATTATTACGAACCACGTTATGATCATGAAATACAAGTAATCTAAATAGTATGTTGTGCGTTCTTCGAATGTTGCTTACATACGAGATTGATAATCTAACTTTTTTTCTTTTCCCCCACACCTTTGTAAGCAACAATTCTGAGGGCCTCCTCATTTTTCATTTTTTTTTTTTTTTTTTTTTTTTATCATTAAATGTCATTAAAGCTTCGATGAGTTATTCGGTTTTTAACTCAAAATTAGAATATTTTTTATTTACAATGGCAAGAGAAAATGACAAACTCTCACGAGATCAAAACAGTGTAAAACACATACAAGAAAAAAGAAAACAACAAGAGAAAAAAAAAACAATGTCTCATCAACAAAGTTCTAGCACTCCAATTTCTTTTCGCGGCCTGATGACCATTTGGCTAGCTCTCTGGCCTTTAGTACCACAGGTTTCAGGTTCGAATCCTAGTGGTTGCATAGATGCTTGTGAGTGGTTCGGAAACCCCGCTGAATTTTAGGTCCCTGTCTTAATAGCTTATTATTTCTTTTCACCTCGGAGTCCCCATGCGAACCCGGGCAACCTGTTATAGGATGCCAGTCTCGGATGGATCTCGTCTTTCCCACAGTACAGGGCAATTTGGGCTGTCAAAATTCCAAAGCATGCAGATGATTCGCCAGACAGTCATGACCCAACGCAAGTCTAAATTCTGCGACAGCTTTTTCACAAAGTTTGACCCGAAATACCCTGCTCCAAATACCCTGCCTGCCTGTTTCTCCAACTCTTCGACTAGATACTACGAGTAGTGAGTAATGCATCTAGTAAGTCTCGTTTGATTTTATATATAAAGTTTTATGGAATAAAAAGAGTTGCAACTATTTGGCTGTTGAACTATCCATGTGCCCTTCTCAGCCAGCAAATCTGCCTGATCATTACCTAAAATGTCACAGTGATCAGGCATCCAATATAGGACGATGTGTTGCGACACTAACGTCAACTTTTCACGAAGAATTTGACATTCTAAGATATTCTTAGAGGAGGGTGCTTCATATGGCCCAATAGCTTGTAGGGCAGTCCTGGAGTCTGACAATAAAACCACCTGGTTACAAAGTGTATGGGGATAAAAATTAAGGTTCGAGTCTCGGCGGTGACATGGGTGTTTGTAGTGGTTCGGAATCCACTTTAAACCGTAGGTCCCGGTCTAACAATATCATAGAGCGTTCCGGGGGTAGTGTTACTCCGCGTCCATAGCTTATATTCAAGTTATATGCACCTTAAGGCATCAAAGACGACTGTCTAAGTGTTTGCCAGCTGCATTAGAAAAAAAATTATTAAATAAAATTAAAATATTCAGAATATAATTTTTTTAGCTGTATTAATACTTACATTGGTTTTAATTACTGGTTTAAGAAAGAAAAAATAGTTTTTCATAACTTTTTTTTTTTTTCAAATTTGAATTTAAAGATAGCGTAATTTTACAAAATAATATTCTATCTATTTATTTTTTTCTGCAGTTTATGAATCATGTTAATTTTTTTTCATTCATTCATTCATTCATTCATTTTTTAATATTATTTACATTCATAGTATATGAAAATCTTAAAATACTTCTACGTGCTGGAAAATAGTAGATCATTCTATTTATTTATTTATTTTTTAAATTTACTTTATGACTCTATTTTACAAAGCAATTTTGAGTCCGATTTAGATCAGATTCGGAGATCAAAATCTTAATCAAAATTTAAATCGATTTTTCGATAGCAAGTAAATTTAGATGAAAATCGCATAACTATCTACCGTGTCGAGGCTTTGAGATCAATTCTTGTCTATTATTTTGTAATCTTAGATTGTTGAGGATTACAAAATAATAGACATTCCCAACGTAGCCAATACGTGTGTTTGGGTTTTCCTACCGTTTCAGTACCTATTGGCTTGGCCAAAAATATTCACTACACGTTTGTCACATTTGCCATTCTTTTTAAGTGGCCGGTTCATTTCCTTCATTTAATTTTAATATATTTAAATATAATGCACAATGCGGTTCAAGGTTGTCCAACGCTCGGCAAGCGGGCCGCAGGAGGGCCGCATTTTGATAAAAGTGGGCAAAATTGAAGTCGTAAACTTGCTTAGTTATACATTGAGATCTTTATGTATGATTTTAAGATGAAGATTTTATGATTAGATTTATAGACATTACAATTTTTTGACATGAAGCCTTCATTTTATTGAAATATTATCTAGCTAGCTACATTTCTTTTTTTTAATTTCGAATAATATATTTTTTATTTTTTAAAGATTCTAGAAAAATTTATCAACGAAATAAGTCAAAGATTATTATGCAAAAGCATTTGGGTTTATTTTTCATCATGAGATTACAGATGGTAAATTAATTATTTTTGTGAGCAGGTAGGGCAACCAGATTGTAACTGGGTGTGGTTGAGTTGAGATGCTTGAGGAACAGGTTGGAGAATTGACAGCTTTATTTGCACACGCACAGACACCACACACATGCAATTAGAGACATACACTATTTAACACATTTAAAGACAAATAATTATAGATTCGCAGAAGGATTCCACTTCTAAACCGAAAAACCGAAATTTGGATATGCGAGGGGGCATGAAATTTACTCCAGGCGAGAGTCTGTAGGCCAACTAATGTGCCAGGGGGGCGTTAAATATATGTATTTCCTCTTGGATGATAGTCTATAAAATGAAGAAAATGAATGGTAGTTGTAGGTCAACTGGCCATTTCTCCTAAACGCCACTGGGGGCGCTCTTGCCAGCAAGTAGGAGGAAGCATGGTTACACTGCTAGCTTTTTTGGTTAGCAACTATCGTAAGATCTATTCTATTTTATGAGCAGCAAGGGGTAATCTTTTCAGTTTAAAATATGGTGCAAGAAATTCAGAAGAAGTTAATAAGCACAAATATAGTTCAGAATGTGACCTACTTCTAAAGGACTATTTACTTGAACTAATGGGTTATACTTTAAGATCCGTTATTTTAAGGCTGCTTCAAAGAAAGACATTATGAATATACCGTCCTCTAAACAAGACATTCAAAATGGTATTAAATGAAATGGGCTTTGGCAATATGCTTCCTCCTTGTCATCACGTTATACAAATGGATGTTTTCCTAATCTCCGGCGTGGTTTAGTTACCCTTTACCCTTACCATACGAATTAAATCTTGTTACGAAAAGCCTTGAACCAACCAGGGTTGCCAAGGAAAGAAAAACGTTTCAACACTTTAATCACATCCAATTTTTATTTTACATCGTTCAAATCCATTACTCATTTTGTGCAGCAAAGATGGGAACCAACGAAATGATGCAAGTTTCATGTGATGTCATAAAATAGCGTTGCTTTCTAAGTTTGCTCGTTGAAAGAAATGAGCCAGGAAAGTGATTAATTTATACGGCTTTTTAGGAAGATCTAATGCAATATATTTTTATCTCTGAATAATAGCCTGAAAATAATACTAAAATAGTTAGCACCATAATTTGTACACTACTGGACTTCGATCTAATGATAATCTGCCATTACTACTACTGTACAAGATGACCGTAGAGCGACAAACCAAACCAATCCACTCCTCAATAATTTAACAGATATGACAATGTAGAAAAGTGAATGAGGAGCTGTGCGTTCTTAAAATTCGGTAGGACGTAAAAATTTGTATTCGTGGATCCTACTGGTCTTCCACTCCTCAGCAGTTAAATAGAAATGACAACAAAAGTGACAGACAAAAGTGAATGATGAGCCATGTGAATTGACAAAATGGTATTCGTCGATCCTAATAGTACTTTACTTCTTAGTAGTTCAGTAGACATGACACGTATTCATAGACATGATGAGTTTTTTCTTCTTACAAAATGATATTCGTGGATCCTAGTGATCCTCTTATATTCTCAGTAATTTAACAGACTATGACAATGTAGAAAAGTGAATGAGGAACTGTGCGTTCTTAAAATTCGGTAGGACGTAAAAATGGTATTCGTGGATCCTACTGGTCTTCCACTCCTCAGCAGTTAAATAGAAATGACAACAAAAGTGACAGACAAAAGTGAATGATGAGCCATGTGAATTGACAAAATGGTATTCGTCGATCCTAATAGTACTTTACTTCTTAGTAGTTCAGTAGACATGACACGTATTCATAGACATGATGAGTTTTTTCTTCTTACAAAATGATATTCGTGGATCCTAGTGATCCTCTTATATTCTCAGTAATTTAACAGACTATGACAATGTAGAAAAGTGAATGAGGAACTGTGCGTTCTTAAAATTCGGTAGGACGTAAAAATGGTATTCGTGGATCCTACTGGTCTTCCACTCCTCAGCAGTTAAATAGAAAGGACAACAAAAGTGACAGGCAAAAGTGAATGATGAGCCATGTGAATT